TTTAGGGAGAGGTGCCAAGGTCACCTGGGCTCTGGTGGACTCTGAGCACATCTGAAGCATCCAATCCATCAGAAAGTATCCTACGGAGTTTGACATAGCCCAGAAACACCTGATGATTTCAGACTTCAAAAGCAGGATCCCTTAAGTCAGGCGTCCTCAAACTACGGCCCACGGGCCACATGCGGGTGTTTTTGCCCGTTTGTTTTTTACTTCAAAATAAGATATGTGCAGCGTGCATAGGAATTTGTTCATAGTTTTTTTTAAACTATAGTCCGGCCCTCCAATGGTCTGAGGAACAGTGAACTGGCCCCCTATTTAAAAAATTTGAGGACCCCTGCCTTAAGAGAATAACCATTCAGTCCTGCCAAACTTTGGTATCACGCCCAGATAGACAGACATTGCTCGTGTCTTAGGCAAACAGAAAGAAAGTAATCATACAGTCCTAAAAGATCAGAGCAGGAGGAAGGGCCTAAGGATAACATCTTAGCTATAAATGGATGCTTTGTGACAAGAAGGACAAAGACCTTCCCCCAGAAACTTTTGTCTGAGGAGAGGCAGAGCCCTGCCTTTGGGAACCTGTCAGATGAAAGGTTCCCAAGTTCCTTGGGTCCTGCTCCAAAGAACATTTGTCTAATTGGCAAAAGGGCTTCTCAGGGAGCCCCAGTGTAAAAAGGGGAAAACAGCCCTGGTGTGATATGGAAAGACAGGGCAGCAGGGACCTATAAGCTGAGGCAGAGAACCAGGGTCCCTGCTGGCATACACAAGGTCTTGGCTGGAACTAGAGAAAGGTGTTCTCTCTGGCCCCCTTTCCTCCCAGCTGACACAGCCTGTCCTTAGGGTGCAGAGCTTGGAGAGTAGAGTGCCAAGTGTAGGCAGAACAAGTCTCCGCTGGATGCCTTTATATAGGACTCAAACTGCATAGCCTAAAGTGCGGCACTGGGGAAGGATTCTTTCTCTCATGAACCCTTGGGAGACATTGCCCTGATCCAGATAACACTGGTCAAGGTGGAGAAACTCTGGTCTGAGACAGAACAATGACAAAGCTCTGTACTAGAGAGTACTAGTGCAAAAGGATAGACAGAGCCTTGCCTTCAGGGGCCCATCCTCTCTACCCACAGCATCAGCCTCCCCATATGTTGAACTAGGAAAAGAATAAGCATCCAGCAAAAACTGCCTCAATTCCCTGGACCCCATTCCTACCCCCAAAATGCTGATATTTCCTTATTCTCTAGAGCAGTGGTCCTCAAATTTTTGGCACCAGGGACCAGTTTCATGAAAGACAATTTTTCCACGGACTTGGGGTGGCAGGGGGGGATGTTTTCGAGATGATTCATTCACATTACATTTATCGTGCAGTCAAACCTCTCTGCTAATGATAATCTGAATTTGCAGCCATTCCCCAGCGCTCCCCAGCATCACTGCCTCAGCTCCACCTCAGATCATCAGGATAGAGTCTCATAAGGAGTGTGCAACCTATTGGCTGAATTAATGAAGTCAAAAAAAAAAAAGGAGTGTGCAACCTAGATCCCTCACATGCACAGTTTACAGTAGGGTTTGCACTCCTGTGACAATCTAATGCAGCAGCTGATCTAACAGGAGGTAGAGCTTATATGGTGATGTAAGAGATGGGGAGCAGCTGTAAATAAAGATGATCCTTTACTCACTCGCCCTCTGCTCACTTCCTGCTGTGCAGCCCAGTTCCTAACAGGCCACGGACCCAGTATCAGTCCGCAGCCCAGGGGTTGAGGACTGCAGCTCTAGAGAATATGAGGAAAGGTATGGACACATTTGCCTAAAAAAAATACATATATTTTGTCCACATACACAAACAACACATGCACACACACACATTCGCATACAGTATTTTACATACAACTTCAGGAGGTTAGGAAACCTCTAAAACCTATCCAGGTACCCCTTAGAAGTCTTTTGAGCCCAGATTAAGACCCAAGACCCTGCTCTAGACTCTAAGTACACCTCCTAAAGGACAAATCAGATTAGGTTACGTCTTACAACATAAAGCTCAAGCTCCTTGTCAACCTGTATTCAACCTGTATTTCAAGCTTCTATGCCTAATACTGCCCTCCATGAATCCTACGGGCCATGCTCATTGAATTAATGCTAACCACTCCCTGGATATACCACTATTTTCTTGCCTCCATGTCTTTACACATGCTATTTCTTCTAACAGGAGTATTTAACCCCACCACATCAAATTTCTATTTATCCATCAATATCCTGCCCAAATATTATCTCCTCCAGGAAGCCTTTCTGGATTAGCTATCCCTAGCTCTCTCTTCTCACAACCCTTGTGTGTCCCTGATATTGTCTCATCACCCTATGTTGTGATCATCTGTTTAGGTATTATTCAGGTATCTACTTATGTGTAACAATTCATCCCCAAACTTGGTGGCTTAACACAATCTATTATTTCTTATGATTCAGTGGGTTGATTGTGCATTGCCTCATTCGTGCAGCTCATTCAGCTGGAGGAATGGCTGGGCTGGAAAGTCCAAAATGGCCTCACCACATGTCTGGAAAATTGGAGTACCTTGGTTCTCTTCCATGTGGGCTCTCATCCTCCAGTAGGTTAGATGGCTTCCGTACTTAGCTGTCTCAGGGCAGTATCACACCAAGAGGGTGAAGGCCAAAGGTGTAAGGCCTCTTGAGGCCTAGACTCTGGATCTTGCACATCACTTCCACCATTTTCTTTTAGGCAAAGCAAGCCACAAAGCTAGCCCATAACCAAAGGATGAGAAAAATGAAGCTCTTGATAGGAGAAGCTGCAAAAAAATTGTGGCCATATTTAATCTATACCAACGACTCTGACTCCTTCACTAGACTTGGAGTTTCTCCAAGGCAAGGACCTTGTTTTATCCTTCCTTTACTCATACATTTATCTAATACTCACTGAGCCTAGTGCCCTTGCCTTTAAGAGGTTAGACTTCCAAATAAATAATTACAGCCCAGTGTTTTAAGCACTATGACAAGGATATAAATAATTTTCTAAGACAGCACAGTGGAAGGAGAAGAAAATCAGAGCAAGCTTCACAGAGGAGGTAATGACTGAACAGGGTTCCAGAGGAGAAGTAGGAGTTCACTTGGGTGGACAAGGAAGAAGAGTATTCTAGATAAAGGAAACACTATGTGCAAAGAACACAGAGGTAAAACAGAATGATGTGTTTGGGGAACTGCTAGCAGGTCAGTTTTAGAAAGTAGAATGCAAGGAAAGTTGGTAAGAGATGGAGCTGGAAAGTAACCCAGGGACTAGCTGGGTATCCCACCTGCTGCACTTTACATAATGCCTGGCATGTAGTAGCTATTCAGTTACGCTGGATTTTAAAAATCATTGAGGCCGGGTGCGGTGTCTCACACTTGTAATTCCAGCACTTTGGGAGGCTGAAGCAGGAGGATCACTTGAGGCTAGGAGTTTAAGACCAGCCCAGACAACACAGCAAGGCCCCTGTCACTAAGAAAACATTTAAAAATTAAACTGGGTGTCATGGTACACATCGATAATCCCAGCTACTCAGTAGGCTGAGACAGAAGAATCCCTTGAGCCCAGGAATTTGAGGCTGCAGTGAACTATGATCTCCAATGCACTCCAGCCTGGGTGACAGAGGCAGACCCTATCTCTAAAAAAGCTTCTAAATTTAAAAATTGTAAAAAATCATTGAACTAGGCCCTGAAAGCAGGGGGTATTGGTTTCTAGTTTGAATTCCCATTTGCTTAGCCTAAGTAACTAACCTTCTTAACCATTACCTCACTTAAACCTCATAGCAACTGTACAAGCCAGGATTCATTGCCCCCAATTTATTACTAGGGAAACAGGCCTAGAGAGGGGAATGACTTTTTCTAAGAACACATAAATTATGAGTAACAGGGTCAGGATTTGAACTTGAGTCTCTCTGCCCTGAATCCTAGATTGTTTGCCAGCCCTGCACTGGGCTCGGGGCTCCCCTTCCCACTGATCCTCCTCCCCTTCCCACTGATAACTCCTTCATGCTAGACCCTGTGCTGGGTAAATAGCTAGAGATGACCTCCCAAGTAAAAGGGACAGATATGTAAATAATCAAAATATACATGATCATAGGGATACATGATCAGAGGAAAGCCATGGAACTGTGTAACTCAAGGAGGCAACAAACCCAGTATTGCAGGGGGAAATAAAGCTTTGCCAGAGACCAGAAGGATGAACAAGTTAACCAAGCAGGGACTACTGGGGAGCATGGAAGATGCCTGGCCCAGAGTATAGAGCATGGAGTGCTCAGGGAGCTACAATTAGTTCTGCAAAGCTGAGAGTAGGAGTGGTAGAAGAGTCTGGAGAAGCAGACAAGGCAAGGTAGGGCAGGCCTGTATGCCATGTTGCAATCTCAGTGGAAAAGCAATGAAGGATTTAAAGAAGGGGGAAACAGGGTTAATTTCGTACAATAGAAAGATGACGCTGTGTGTAGTGTGGAGGATGGGTTGCAGGGAAAGAAGCTGGAAACCAGATGGGAGGCTGCTGGAAACTTAGAGAGCTTGTAAGATTAGGAACTAGAACAAGGACAACCAAGGTAGGTATAGCCGTTGGAGAAACACTCAGGGATGACTTGCCTATGCCAAGCACCATACCCGGCTCAAGATTCACCCAAACAACTCACACATGGCCCCAACCCAGGAGTTGTCAGCCAGTGATACAAATTTATACAGGCCACAATGAGGGTACAAAGATGGAAATAATCTTACTGGAAGCAAAGCTATTTTTCAATTAAGCCTGGAAGGATGGGTAGGAGTTAAACAGAGGAGATGAAGAAGTTTAAGAGATCTTTAAACGTAGACTTCCAGGATCTAGAGGATTGACTGTGAGGGCTGGAGAGGGTGGGGTCAAAGGCAACTCTTAAATTTCTTGTGAGGGCACACCTGAGTAGATGGTGGTCTCCCCTTATGAACTGGGAACCCAGGAAGGCGTCTGTTTGGGACATGTTGAGTTCAGTGTTGGCCATGTGGGCATGCAGTACCTTTGGGAGCTCCAGAGGATGTCCAGCACGTAGCTGGCATGTTGGGAATCCTCAAGTTATTACAGGGCATGGGCCAAAGGCTGAGGGTGGGGGCGACTGTTAGGAGCATGCGGTGAGATTGCCCAAGGACAATTGGGAATTCCGACAAAGCGCCCACCTCGGCGCCGCTACCCCAAGACAGCCGCGCGAGAGGCGGATGCGGGAGCCGGGGCTGGTGTGTGGGGCTTAAGAAGCCCGGCACTGAGAGGAGGCCGGTGGAAGGACCTTGTAGCCGCTAAATCCGGGTTGGGTAGGCTTTACCGGCGGTGGGAGGTACCCAGGGACGGCCCCAGCTGCTAGCTACAGGAGTACAAGCCGCGGTTTCCTGGTCCCGGTCCGGCCGCCCCCACCCCCATCGTGAACTTTCACCCTTAGCGCGCGGCGGCGGATCACGTGATCAGGGCCAACATGGCCGCCGCCGCCGCTGGGAGCTGAAGTGCCGCCGCCGCCGGGCAGCCGGGGGGAATCCGCCCGCATCGCCGCCCTCGCCGGCCGGGCGGCCCTGGGGCCCGGAGCGACGGAGGCCGGGGCTGGGGCGGCACCGCGCGGCGGCCAGGGGGTCCCGTTAGAGTAGCCCCCGGCGGCTATGCCGAGGGCCCGGAGCGGCCGGCGGAGCAGGGGGGCCGGCGGGAGGGAGGAAGTAGGTTTGTTTACGGGCTGTTCGGGGCGGGGCAGGCCTTGTCGGGGGTCTGGGGCGGGGGCGGGGGCCAGGACTCCAGGCCGCGACTGACGCTCTGTTCTCTTTTTTTGCATCTGCCCGCGATCTTCTCCCAGACCTTCCTGCGAGTGCGAGCCAACCGGCAGACCAGACTGAATGGTGAGTCCTGCCCGGCCCCTCCCTCCGCCCCACCCCCGGCCTCCTCCCTCCCTCACTGCCTGCAGCTCCTGGTTTGCCTGGGTCTCTTCGACTTTGGGGACCATTGGCTTCTTCGCAGTCACAGCGCTTGAGTATGTGCAAACCAAGGCTGCCACCCTCAGTTTCCCCGTCTGTCTAATGGAGGTATGGTTCCCAGCTCTTGCCCAAACCTCTCTAAAGGCCTTGAAGAACCCTGGGGGGCAATAAGTGCTGGAGAATGAGGAACAAGCTACACAATTCTACTCGAGAGCTCAGCTTTGAATTTGCAAACTGCTGGGACCTCACTATACAAGCCGGCAGGGCGCTGAGAATGTTTTTCTTCCAGTTTTTAATCAGTGCCCAGTAGTGTGAATACAGCCTCTCTGCTGAGACTTGACAATGCAGTGAGATCTGGAGTTCCCACGGCAACAGGAACTAACTCATCCCAGGGCTCTTTGAGTTATCAGTCGGCCCACATTTCACAAAAGTGATCAGCGTGGGCTCGACAGCTCTTAGAGGCCTTCTCTGAAAGCAAGCCGTGTATGCACTACCTGGCAGCCCCCCTTTCGGATTCAAACCTCTGGAGCATTCCTGTTTCCTGAACACAATTGAATGATCCTAGCTTTTTGTGCTGACTGGGGTGTGGTATCTAGGGGTTGGCTATAGGGGTTTAGGGTCTCTAGACCATCTGGGAAGTGAATGAGGCCATGGGCATTCAAGATCCCCAACTCTTATAACTTGGTTTCTGCAGAAGCTTGGTTTCTGCCAGGCCAAGCCCCAGTCTGGAAAAGGGAGAACATTTACGATGGGCTGACACCATGTTAAGTACCATTCTCATAACACCCTCTGAGAGAAAAGTCTTACACACCTTTTGTAAAGAAGGAAACTGAGGCTCTGAGATGTAAAAGTGATTCGTTTAAAATCACATAGCTGAGATGTAACTGAGACATGTATGATCTGAACTTCATTTCCCACCAAACCTGTGCTTCTCCAATAATGCCATGCTACCTCCTTGGCAAAGGCTTTGGCTCTCCTTACTCAGAGGTAACCTCTGAGTGGAAAATAAAACTTACCCAGTCACACTTTAGTAAGTTTCATTCAAGACCGAGAAGATGAATGGCAAGGGAAAAACCAAACCTGTCTTGCTTATCTGAGAATTTCCTAATGGAGCCCAGTCCATCAAGGTGCTTTCCTGGGACTACAAGGGATCATCTGTTGGCTTAGGTGTCCTGGGCAAGGACAGCATCCAATATTGTACCCTACTTGACCGTTCTATGACATTCATTTCCTTATTTAATCGTTGGACAATCCCTTGTTACCTAGGAAGACACTCCCTTGGACTCTGGGCAAGGTAAGTGAGGAACCTTTGTGTTGACACACTGCTCCATACTAGGCTCCTAGAATTCTCAGGGTTCCTTGCTCAGTGCATTTCTGATGTCTCACATACCTTCTCCATCTAGAGCCCTGGCTCTAGAGTGTCAAGGCTGAGAATCCAAGGGTTAAGGACAACCAAAGTGAAGGGATCTGTATCTTTGTCTGCAAAGTCAAGTAGAGCACCAGAATATAGGCATGTCTATTATAGTGAAAACACAGGAAATTGGAGAGATGTGCCATAGACCAGGGTTTCTCAAACTCCATGCTCAATTCTGGTGGGATGGTGGCTTTCCTTTTGGTTTGGGTCTTTCTAGAGCCTCTATGTTTTGGAGTTGGAGTAGTTCTCTCACTCAGACCCACAATAAGCAGGAGGAGTTGGAGCCCTAGCACACTCATTGGGATCAATCTTTGTGGATGCCACTCAATCTGAGGGACCCTTGGAACAGGAGAGCATTCTAGCCTAGTATCCTATCTTGCCTTTGCCACTTTTTAGCTACTTGGACAAGTGCCTTGATCTCTCTAAGCTTCAGGTCTCTTCATCTGTTAAAATGGCATAATATAGCCTAGCTTTAGGATATAGAAGTAGTTGAGCTACCTGTGTAAGGTACTTGGCTCTGAACCTAACACATGGTAGAAACTCTTAAATTATAACATACCAACTCTTACCTCTGTTCCCCTCCCTAGACTGTATTCATGAGCTTCCCATCAGGGTCGGTGTCCATGAGAGAGTTCTTCTTGGCCCTGCAGTGGGGATCCTTTCTCTCTTTGGCTGGCTCCTCTTCCCCCTACCCCCATCAGTCTAGTCATAGGATGGCCATCTCTGATCCTGCTATTATATCAGGGAGGGACTAGAGGGAACCGAGTCCCTTGTTTTGACCCCTTCCTGCTTCAGTGACAGGAGGGCTGCAGAGAGGGATTAGTGAGCTAATTAGAAATGATTGCATCTCTCAGCATTAATTAACAGTGCTGTGGGCTTGCGGTATGCACTTTGGAACTGAGCCCCCTTCGGGACAACATGGCAGGCAGCCCTCTGCCCCTGGGGCCTGCCAGCCCCTCTGCACTGATTAGAAATGATGGAACAAGTTTGGGTAGGCACAGTAAGGGCTACCATTTCAAGGTACCCTGGGTCCTCTGACTGGCCCACTCAAGGTCTAATCCAGACCCTCTTAATTTTATGCTGGGCCTCAATCTCCTCTCCTGTAAAATGGGGCCAGTGAACATCAGCGAAATTCTTCCTGGGGAGATTCTAGGTAGGATGCTAGGAGCTATACCCCAGCCTCTTCACCTAGGAACAAAAGGGGGTTTAGGGCTGGGCGCTGTGGCTCACGCCTGTAATCCTAGCTCTTGGGAGGCCGAGGCGGGCGGATTGCTCAAGGTCAGGAGTTCAAAACCAGCCTGAGCAAGAGCGAGACCCCGTCTCTACTATAAATAGAAAGAAATTAATTGGCCAACTGATATATATATAAAAAATTAGCCGGGCATGGTGGCACATGCCTGTAGTCCCAGCTACTCGGGAGGCTGAGGCAGAAGGATCACTGGAGCCCAGGAGTTTGAGGTTGCTGTGAGCTAGGCTGACGCCACGGCACTCACTCTAGCCTGGACAACAAAGCGAGACTCTGTCTCAAAAAAAAAAAAAAAAGGGGGGGGGTTTAGATGATGAGTGAACAGCAGACCAGATCAGGCCCCTGAAGGGACCTTTGGGTTCTAGCCAGGAGATGTTTTTTAGAAATATATTTCCTGACACCAAAAGAGCTCATGGTCTTGGCCTTCTGGAGAGATACATGGCAATATTGAGATCTTTGCCCATTGGACTCTTATTGAGCACTGCAGATAGAAAGGTATGGGTTGACCTTGCATCATTTGTGTCCAAAGAGTGGTCACTTCCCTGGCCTAGCACCAATGTCCTTCCCAGGTGCTCTTGGCAAAACTTAGTCCCCAAAGGAGCAGGATGTGGTACAAGATGAGGGCCAGAACAGGTACTCAACAAAAGGGCTAATGGCTAGCAGGGGGTCAGGATGTGTCAGCTCCACTGGGAGCTACAGTGACCATCTGCCTGTTCTATGCTTTGTTTTCGGTTCCTCTGTGCAGCTCGGATTGGGAAAATGAAACGGAGGAAGCAAGATGAAGGGCAGGTATGTCCCCTGTGCAACCGCCCCCTGGCAGGATCGGAGCAGGAGATGAGTAGGCATGTGGAGCATTGCCTTTCTAAGGTAGAGGGGCCGTCACCACCCACCTTCCTTCCCCCTCTTCCCCTAGCACTAGCTGCTGACTGCCCCTAAATCTGTGGGCTCTCGGGGTCTCCATGTGGTCTCAGCAGCTTCTTCCCCTCTGTTCTCTGCTCTCCTCTGCTTTTATTCTCACTCACCCCATCCCCCACCCCCACCCCTTGGGCTCCAGTGGAAAATTATTGGGAAGAGACCTAGGTCTTTGACCTCTAGATTGGTTTGCTTCAAAGGAGCCCTAGAGCTGGGAGCCCATCTGGCACTACAGCTGGGCCTAGGGTTGTGCCTTCCTTGCAGACTCTGGGGAGCAAGTAGGGATGGCCTGGGCCCAGCATGATCCTGCTCTGCTCTTCACAGAGGGAAGGTTCCTGCATGGCTGAGGATGATGCCGTGGACATCGAGCATGAGAACAGCAACCGCTTTGAGGAGTATGAGTGGTGTGGGCAGAAACGGATACGGGCCACCAGTCTCCTGGAAGGTGGCTTCCGAGGTACAAGCAGCTCACACCTAGGCAGTGGCACCTTGCACAGGTGCGAGGCCTCTGCTAGGTATCCATCTGTTGGGAGCTGAGAGGCCAGGGCCGGTGGCTGGTCATCCATTCCACCTCTTGGGACTGCTGCTGGTGGGGCTCCTTTGTGACCGTGCTGCCTGCCTGTGATGTGCATATTAAAATGGATGTATTTGGGTGGGGAAATGGAATTGTGAGGCTACAAGCTAGGAGTGACGAGGGGGGCTCTCAGCCTCGGGTGATGCATTGAAGGTGACAGCCAAGCCGCGTTAGCACCTGCATAAAATATTAAAGGGACGGTTATGCATTTATCACTCCATCCCTCTTAAGGCTGATAAATGAGAATCCAGCAACCTGCTGTACACCTCCAGCACTGGGGGCCCTGAGGGCTTCCAGGCAAACACATTGGATTTTCCTCCTCCTCCTCCTCAGCCCTATGTCAGGGAAATCAGTTACAGAGGATAGAGTGAGTTATGGCAAAATTTGACCTCCCAAGAGCTTCATTGGTGAATCTAATTTTAGCTCTGATCCCATCCCTTCTCCCTGGGTGCCCTCTGCCCTGAAGCAAAAGGGGCCTGGGTCCAGCTGCTCCCTGCCTCCCTTGGGCTCTCCCCAGTTGCTGCAGAGGAGTCTGCAGGGCTCCACCCAT